TTCCTTCTATTTTAACGTACAATGTTTCCCCCCCATTGAAAGATAATATTTTCCGTGGAAAATATTTTCCTTCCACTAATGTGACGAAACACAGAAAAATAGAATCTAAGTTTTCTTGGAAAATATTTTTCCCCAACCAAAAACACCATAAGGTAAATAACATTTTTGTGTAATCTTATAAAGACTATCAAAAACATCTAAAACTAATACTTTTTACTCGACTTTTACTCTAGTTTACAAATGATAATATTGGTAAAATTATTAAGAGCATCGAATCAACCACTTCGTTTCAATGTGTTTCCACAATGATATGCCTCCAATCTTGAGGAAGGAAATCTCATTTATTAATTGTGAAAAATTATAAAATTAGAAAATGTATTCTAATGAAAGAGATTATCTCGTTTCCAAAATTAAATTTACTAAATAATGTTAAAATCATAAAGAATGTTAGTGTAAACATAGTATATCTTGGTAACATTTTTTATATCAATTGTTAACTATAATTTAACTAAAAACATCATATAATAATAGATAACTATAAATGTTATATTCTTCAATTTAAATCATAAATAATATACGGAATATAAACCATAAATTGTATAGCAATAAAATAAAATCATAAAATCAATATATTCGAAGTACGAAAATACGTATTGAAATGTTAACACATGTCATTATTTCAAAGATTGAAGTAAAAAATTTATATATAAAAGATAAAGTATTATAACCTTCTAAATCAATAAATAAGTGTGAAGTCAATGAGTAAATGTGTTCTTATTCTATTTCTTTATATCCTTTTATAGACTTTAAATTATTAGAGCCCACTTGTGTCAAAATGGTAACTCACACTGCTATAATTTAGTTTGATTAGTTTAAATTTTTAAAATGATACTTTATAATATTTTTAATATAATTAATGGTATTAAACACGATCTTTAGTGTTAGTATTTTTAAATAATTTGAACCCTTAAAAATTTATTCAAAAGTATACGTCTATATGATTCGTTTGAAGTAAGGGTTTTTTTCCTTTCATTTTTTGCATAAGATTGACCCGGTTATATTCTCCTTCTTCTAAAAGAACTACTTAGAGTAACTCTTTTTTTATTTGTCTAAAAACAATTACACTTTATCTATTTTCTACTCTATTTTATTTTTGAAAAATATTTTCTACTTTGATTGACTCATTATTTATCCATTTTCATTTTATAAATGAATGAATGACTCATTATTTATCTATTTTCAATTATTTCATTGACATCGTACAAATGGAGAAATGGAAAATTAGAAATTACTCGGAATGGAAAATTCATTGACTCTATGACATTCTTGTAGCTTTTACAAAATTCAAAAAATTTTGGACTTACTCCGGAGTATATTTTAAGATATACGGACTAAAATAAAGCAAAAAAAGTATATGAAGAACGTAATACCTTGCAACTTAAATTGGTAATTACCTATTTTGATCCAAAATACCTTGTAATAGCTTTGGATTTAAGAAGATGGCAGGACGGAATTTTTTCCTTTTAAAAAGACTTCGATTTAAGAAGGGAAAAAAAATTTAATTTTCCTAAATGCTATAATAAAAACATACCAATCAAAGATGAAGTAAATTTGGAAGGAATTCTCTAAATTCAGCTCATCTTATTACGCCACATGTCAAATTCTTGTATTTCCAAATGTCAGCTTCTCAGAGTCCAAACTCTCAAATTTTATATTAAAGGATTGGAGCCTGCTACATGGAATGCTTTCCAAGCATCAGATGCTTATGCTCGGGGAAGCATTGGTTGCTTCCTTTAAATTGATATATGGCTTACAAGAAAAGAGGTGCAAAGAAGTGGATTTTTGGAAACAACCCCATTGTAAGAAAACAAATTATCAAAGTGATTTAAATCTTTATATATAAAATTTGAGAGTTAGGCATCTAGAATTGTGACATGTGGCGCGCTTATTGGACAAGTTATATTTAAAGAATTAGTTAACAAAAAAAAACGTTTTCTATGAAAATTAAATTTCGTATTTGTTACGCACAAGTTTCTCAACATAATCGCCTTAAAAAACTTTTATATCTTAATTCATTGTTGGAAAATATTTAAATTAAATAATATATTTTGAAATTGAAAAAGAACTCATATTCAAAAAAAAAATAATCAAAACAAATAAATTTATTCTAAGAACGGATAGATTGGCCGGACTAAAAGAAATTACATATGAATATTTATTTTTACTTTGAACAAATACTAATTGGAGAAATTATCCAACTTTGAAAAAAGAGAAATAAATCTTTATGTATTAAATTTGAGAGTTAAACTTCTAGAATTGCGACAAGTGGCGAATCTACATGGCAATATTTTACCAAATCACTCGCCACCTATATATTAACGATTGAATGACGTGGCAATTTTATCAAAATATGAGTAGATCCAATTTAAGTTGTATACGAAGTATATGTCTTATGTATAGCGTCGCTATAAGTTTTTGGAAAAAAAATACTCTGTACCAGAATAGGAATAAACATGAAGAAAATACCAAAATAAAAATGCATATTTTTTATCTCCAAAATAGGAGCTACCAAACATTAAGAGATTCCTTAGTTTCAAAAAGAAGTTGTTGGTAATGCATTTCTATCGAAAGACAATGTTTGTTCTATATATCGAGGTTAAAGTATTATTGAAGATCAAGTCCAAACACAGAGGGAGTATTATTGAAGAAATTAGAACCTACATGAAATTTTATGCAATTGAGTGAGAACTAAAATTCACTTTTTTGATTAAAAATTTTATAAAATGAACTTCTAAAATAATTAAAATAATAGTATAAATTTTTAAAATCAACTTCTAAAATAGTAGTTTTATTTTTCACATAAAATTTTAAAAAATTATCACGTAAAAATAATCACATGTATTTTACATCCAAAAATTGCTTCACTTGATATGAATTTATTTTTAAACAACAAAACAAATATAGTTGCAAGGGTTTTCACAAAGAAAAATTACAAAAAATTTTTAAAATATTCATAGGTATTGTTTTCGCAAATACTGTATTTTTGACTTCATTGAAGTCACAACTACTACTTTTTAAAAAAACACAAAAAATACAGTATTTGCATAGGATATATACAACAAAACAATATTTGCAGAAAAAAACGAATCACGTATTTCTGATACGTGAATTATCAAAATTCTACATAGATTTGAAGTGGGGGATTAGAGGCGAGGTCATCCTCATTCGAAATTTACTAGCGTGAACATGAGTGGCTAATAGAGGGACACAAAACATTAAGGTGCCCCTAAATGCACAATTAGAATAAAATTATAATTATTATAACGGAGATCTAAATTGGAAAAAGGTTCATCCGAAAGGGTCATTTTGAAAAAATACTCTGCATTTAAATGTTGAAAATACTTAAATTTCCTCCATTGAACGTCCATTTAACAAACATATACGGAGGACACTGAGTGAATAAATTTCAACTATAAAGTACTATATAGATAATTAATAAAGTACTACTATACATAGATAAAGTACTACATTTCCTAAATTTCAACTATAAAGTACTACATAGATTTTAAATATAAAGTACTACATAGATAAAATACTAAATTTGAACTATACAGTACTACATAGATAAAGTACTACATTCGAAAAGACTATTTTGAGATTACTCAAAGAAATTTATAATTTATAATTAGGTGACTAAAAGACTTAAGACTATATTTTCTAAGAGAATTATACGTGTCATGATTATATACTTTATTTTTAGACAAATGGATATTACGTATATTATGAGATTGACTCAATGCATATCTTACCTAGAACTTTTGTTTATGGTAAGATGACTAATTGTGATATGAAATAAAAGTATTTCATACAATTTGACTATTTTTAAAATATTAAATGTTTAAAACAAACAAATTAGAAAAGACATTTAATTAGACTTTTATACTTTATCTTGGTAACTTGATTTACTATTTTAATCAAAATAATCTTATATTGCAACTTATGATTTATTCAATACATACTTATATTGTGTTACAATTCAAAATGTTTATACATAAAATTAAGAAATTGTGAATGAGAGAGGACTTACTTCCTACGTTTTCATTTACACAATCGTACATGGAAACTTTATAGGATGATATTTTATGAGACGACATAGATTTATGCAAAGAAAATTGTGACAAAGAAGATCAAGGTGTGGAGGGGAGCGTGAGAAGATTTTGTGACAATGAAGATTTAGGATAATCAAAAAAGTAAGAAAAATTGTACAAAAAATCCAAGGTGCAATAGCTAATAAGTTCGAGACTCAGTTGCAGGTTACAACCACACCAAAGAAAATACAATTTCCAATTTGTAACTATTTTTAATTTGATAAAACATTTTATATCTTGACCAAAATACTATCCCAACAAAATCATTGGAGCACTAGCATTTTAATGTTTTTTAAAATCAATGCGGGGGAGAAGAATAATTGATTCTTAATATTTTAAAATTAAAATTTTTAATCATAAAAATTTATGATCACTAATTTAAGATTTTTTTAATAATGCAAGAAAGAATAATACTCCGTAAATTTTTATAATCATTGCGGCAAGGGGGGGGGGTTTGGGATTATGGATAAGAAGATTCATATTTTTTAATTACTACCTCCGTCCGTGAATATTTATCCAGTTTTGACTTTTTCCGATTAACTGCTTTCAACATTTGACTTATAATTAAATAATATATATATATATATTATATATTAAGTAGATTAAATAATATTTTGAAAATGAATGATATAATAAATCAAATAAAACTAATTTTGTATCAATATCTAATATCATATTGATAGCAATGTCCACTTTAACAGCTTTACCAGAAGGATTCTTACTGGAAAATGCTTCGAGTAATAAAGTATTAGTAACAGCTACAGCTAAATCTCCTACAAATATAAATGGCCAAAACCATTATTACAGGAGAAATTGGACGACCTTACTTGAACCAGATCTGTTCTATAAGTGGTACCTCAAAATCCTTTATTCTAAAGGGAGAAACTGGAATACCATTTGAATCAGGCATGCACGATTGAATGACATTTACATACCTGCAAGCTTAAGGGCAAAAAACACATTTCCATATAAAAATTCATACTTTTTCGATCTCGTGCATCACGGATTCATTTTGTGTGGGACTTTGTTGGTAATTCCTAAAAGATCTCACATTTGGATTGCTAGAAGGGATAGAGGCACCATTTTGATCAGTCTACTAATTTATTAAAAGACATAAAGAGAATTTGATATTGTTAGCCTGGAAATGATGAAGCTTGAACAAAAGCTTATACCTTCGCAATACATTGATATCCCTAGCCTAGATTTAGCAACCATTGATGAGTATCCTTTTTAAGCCCACTATTACCATTATTTCCCTTCGACTCCATATGTATGTGTGATTCATTTTTTATGTCAAGTTTTGTTTTAAAAATCCATCTTTTATGTTATTTATTTAATAAAAAAACTCATCTTAAAAAACTTAAAATTTAGTACAGTGCACAACAATAAGTACTACGTAGTAAGTTTTACCTTAATAGGAGTAAGCATGAAATTATGATGGCCAAAGTGTCGTTACGCACTGCCCAATCAAATGCCAAACACAGTCATAGTCGGCATACTATCCTTAAAAAGCATAAAATAAAACATGTTAGCAGTTAATCCATTACAGAGTAGTCATTACCATTTACCATAATCATTACGAGTTGATCATTATGAAGCCATGAGGAATCTCAAACATGTCTTCGACAGATCCTCCTACAACTCAACCAAGACGTACATTTAACAGTCAAACATCTAGAATGAGTGTTGGAAGTTCCTATTTAAGTGCCCAAAAAAGAGCTAGGCATACAGCCGAACCATATGCGAACCATGAACATGATATTGCAATTAGGGGTTGTTTGGTAACGAAGCATGGGCTAGAAGAGAACAATCAGAAAACTAATTATCTGAGAAACCGTTGTTCCAACCAAAGACCGCCATATAGCCAATCCCACCCTTCTTGCATAGCAACCTATTCAAGAATCACCATTTTACTACTCAATGTAATTGTAAAAAACCTACTAAGATGGATGCATTGATTAAACAAATGATATTGCATGACACATTTGTTCAATAGTAGTGAGCCACATCTTCTCCTCCTCCTCCTCCAATTCTTTATGTGTTTGTTGCCATGTATTTACCTGCAAGTCTGCAACGGGCTATTTCATAGAAATTCAGCGCTTTTGCAAATTAAGCAAAACAAAATTATTAATAAGTAAATGTATAGTTTGAAGGGGATAAGTGATGAGGTGAGCGATCATGGCGCCACTGGCTCGTGTAAGGACGGCCACTTATCAGAGCATCTCAAATGATTACTCCTTATTAACGAGTTGGGGGGAGGAAATATCAGAATGAAGGTAAGATTGAGCTTTCGCATGACAATGGGAAGGAGAAGGAGAGTATCTGGCATGAAAATTTGTTGAGTTCATTGTAAAAATTTCATGTACATAGTACTATTTAATCTGTCATAAAATGTTCAAGTACGTAATCGGTAACTTAGAGGCTTTCTGTATTTCTGATAAAACCAACATGTACCCTCTTTCTTCATCTCTTCTGTCCGCATGAGAGCCCTTGCCACCGCGGCCACCTCCTCCTCGGCATCCTCGTTATAGCTGATAAAACCTCTCCACTTCCTGTATCGGTTCTGCAAAACACATAGATAAAAACGATGCACATCAAATGCCACTTGTCATTCCTACAAATAAAGCAACGTGTAACATAATGATCGATTATTGATCCGTAACCAACTCATCTAATAGCTGCATAACAAACCATCTAACATAAAATAAAAAAATGCAATCATTTCAAATTTTTACTAACCAAGGACCATAAGCATATTGGGAAAAAAAAAAAAAAATAGGTATGCAAGTGAAAATGACCAAATATGGAGTATATTCACACATCTTATAAAATATATTCCTCAACTCTGTACTTGACTTTTGTATATAATGGACATCTTATTCCTTAACAAATCAACATATTAGGGTTCTTTGTGAAAAAGACCGCACAATTCGTTCACCTTTCTACATGGCTAGATTTTTCTTTTTTAATGTTTACTTCATTTAAGTATGTAATCTCTTTTATTGATTACCACTACTACAAAAATGACCAAATAAATACCCTCATTTGCATCGGTTAGGAAAACAAATAATTTAAATGGTAAAAAAAATTCGCGTACCGCTAACTATTAGAATCGGCTATTCCTAATAACTCATTCAAAAGGCTATTTGAATCGGTTATTAGGAATATTATTTGAATCGGTTATTAGCAATAACCGATCCAAAAGCTAATCAGCATTTGAATCGGTTATTAGTAACCTTTTGAATCGATTATTAGGAAAAACCGATTCAAATGAGGCTGTTAAAACACCCTCCAATACTATCTTATCCTTACGCGATTTTGAAAAAAAAAACTCCAAACCCTTCTTCGTCGTGCTCCTCGCCGTTGCCGTTGCCCAACTCCTCCCCATCTTGCCGTCGACGTCTTCTGCCTCGCTGTTGTCCATTTCGCCCTCATCCACCTTGCCATCGCCGTTGCTATTGCCTTCCCGCCGTCAACTCCTAGCCTCGCCGTCGTCGTGCTTGCTACCGCCCCGTGCCCTGCTGCCCTGTTACCCCGCCCCGTGTCTCGCGTCGTTTTCCTTTGCCTCCTTTAAGGTATTTTCTTTAATTTTTTAACTTTAAATATTTAATTTGATGGATATCGGGTCTGGTAGACCCGACTCCAGGCCCGAACGAAGGCCCATAAGAGCCCAAAAGGTATAAGATCAGATGGGAATGACGGGCCAGGCCCGTTATTCCGCATATGACAAATAAAGGATGACGGCCCAGACACAGGATGGATCAAGGCGGATCCAGTCCAAGGGAGGATTGAGACACGTGGACCACATCATCAAGTGGTGGACGAAATGGGAAGAGAACGAGACCGGAAAGAAGGGGAATCACAACCCCATGATCCCCATAATCCATCTCCATTTTGTATAATTTTAATTAGAATATTAGAAGTACTATAAAAGGGGGAAGACCCCGCCATTGTAAAGCAAGTCACAATTAGACAGTTCAATACACGATCAAAGAATATTATCGAGTGATCATATCTTCCTAATACATATTCCGTTCTTGGTCCGCCATCTGATCGGGTTAATCCCATCATTGGTGCTCTCATTGAGAGATATACTGTGAGATAAGGCTGTGAGATTATGGCCGGACGAAGGACGAGACGTAACCCTGCTACTTCTGCCCAGTCGACGGTGAGGAGTGACAACCCAGAACAGGGTATGATAGTTCCAGTCAATGGGTTGGAAACGGCACTAAATAATGTGGCCAATATGATGGCCAACATTATGGAGCGATTAGATAAGGCCCTTCCAGGTCCATCTGGTACCCGGGAAATCCCTACCGGGCAACCTCGCCAGGTCTTGCGTACTGCAAGTTCTCCTATCCTCTAGGAGCTCCATGATCCGGAGGAGGTTGAAAGGGAAAGGCGAGCCATTGACAGACGCCAGGCGGAGGAATTGGCCCGGAATAGCAAGGTGAACGAAGGCCAGGCTAAGGATCCAAGCCGGATCTTCGGCGATGGAAACGAGAACCCGCGGACATCTGTCTTTGAAAGGATATCTCGCCAGAAAGCTCAAGTTAGTGAGAGACTGGGGAAGAATCCGGAAAAGGCACCCCAGGGATGGATACGACCCCAGGCCAGCCAGGTAGCATCTTCCAATCGCGAACCCCGGCAGTAAAACGGCCGAGGCGCGAGCCAAGTGCTGGTCCGGTTATTAAGGAATCTGGAGGAGGACGAGGTCCAGAGCCAAGCCAGGATCCCAGCACCACGACGTCTGGGACCGCCGGTGCCGGAAGCTGGTGAATTCCAAGATCTGAGGGAGCAGGTCCAGGAGATGCAGAGGAAGATAAACAAGGGTCGAGTATTCACCACCCGTACGAATACCCCCTTAGCCCCGGAGATCTTTGCGGAACCATACCCGCAGGGATTCAAGATGCCTTTTGTTAAGCGTTATGATGGGGAGTCAGACCCCCAGGAACACATAAACAGTTATGTCCAAGTGATGATCGCTGTTGACGCTAGTGACGCACTCATGCGCCGGTGTTTCTTGCAGACCGTTGATAGCAAGGTCGCGGATTGGGTCAACCATATCCCTGCCGGATCGATCCAGACTTGGGATGAGTTGGGACTGCGGTTCCTAGAGCATTTTGCTGGGAACTGTCGTCCCAAAAAGCATTTCACTCACTTGGCGTCAGTACGACAGAAGCATGGAGAATCCTTGAAGAATTTCCTTATCCGATGGAGGAAAGAGTCCAGGGAGGTTGAAGGAACCGATGATAAATCCAGGTTGGCTATGTTCACGGCGGCATTACAGGATGGACTCCTTCACACCGATCTCACTACTCATCCCCCGGATACCTTCGAAGAAGCGATGGTCCGGGCAGGGAGGTACGTGACCTTGGAGGAAAGGAAGGAGGAGAAGAAGGAGAAGACTCCTAAAGAAGAAGAGAAGACGGGGAATAAGAAGCCGTTCAAGAATAAGAAGCAAGGCTTCCCAGACGGCCCAAAGGGTGCAAGTCCTGGGACCTCGGAGAAGCATAAATCTGCCAACCCGGTCTTCACATTGCCAGTGGCTGAGGTCATGGCCCATGCTGCACAGCAAGGACTTATGACTTACCCAACCTATTCTCAGAAGGTCTGCAATGTGGAAGACACTGGAAAATGGTGTGCCTACCATCGCAAGAATGATCACAACACAGAAGATTGCTACACTCTGAAGAATGAGATGGCAAGGCTGATCCGCCGGGGTCATCTGAAGAAATTTGTACAAGATGGTGACACCAGGAATCCCGGAAATGCTCAGAATGGGAAACGCAGAGATAAAGAAGTGGCCCAAGATGAGGCCCGGGAGAAACGCCACATCGGGCTTGAAGACGAAGAGGAGGATTCGGAACCCGCACCGCATCGCCAGAAGAGACACCACGGGTGTAATTTCATCATTGGATGGAATACTGGTGGGGACTCGGCCACTAGCCGGAAGAAGTGGGCTAACGCGGCAGTGGTCAACAAGGTGCTGGTCCCAGAAGGTAAGAAGCTGAAAACCGAGCCAATTGTATTTTCTAATGCTGATCTTCCAAAGACAGGGGTCCCTCATAGGGACGCCCTGGTAATTACTATTGATATAATGGACTTACTGATCCACAAAACCCTTGTGGATACAGGAAGCTCCGTTAATATCATGTATATGGATACGTACAAGGCTCTCGGTTTGACAAGAGATGAATTATCACCCATCAAGACTCCACTAACCGGGTTCACTGGTGACTCTATTGAACCAGAGGGGGTAATAACCCTCCCGGTTGAGATAGGGGATACTAAGGCGACCCGGAAGCTGGACATGGAGTTTGTCGTGGTGGGGATAATCTCTAGCACGAACATTATCTTGGGCAGACCCGGATTGGAAGATTTGGAGTGTGTTATCTCACCTCGTCACCTGTGCATAAAATTCCCAACCCCCTATGGAGTTGGAATTGCCAGAGGATCTCAGAGAGTATCCCGGGCATGGTATTTGAAGGCAACCAAACAGCCGGTCAAGTATGATACCCAAGTAGGAGAAGTGACTGCGCAACTCCTGAAGGCTGAGGAAAAACGTCCCAGAGTAGAGGTGGCCGGCGACATTGAAGAAGTAGAATTGGAGCCAGGCACGCCGGGAAGGTTGGTCAGGATCGGCAAGGACCTGGGGGCTGAACTCAGATCACGAGTGATTTCAGTCCTTAGAAGGTTCAGAAGGGTCTTTGCGTGGAGTCCAGCTGATATGCTAGGGCTGGATCACAAGATAGCAGTTCATCGCCTGAATGTGCTGCCGGATGCTAAACCAGTGAAGCAGAAACGAAGGCATTTATCACAGGAAAGAAGAGATTTTGTAAAGAAGGAAGTAGCAACCTTGCAGAGCATTGGGCACATCCGGGAGGTACAATACCCGGATTGGTTGGCAAACGTAGTACTGGCGCCTAAGCCCCCTTCATGGAGTATGTGCGTCGACTACACAGACTTGAACAAGGCATGTCCCATGGATCCGTTTCCTCTTCCCAACATCGATCAAATGGTGGATGAGACTGCTGGGTCAGAACTAATGAGCTTCATGGACGCTTTCAGTGGCTATCATCAGATTCAGATGCATCCGACCGATGCTGAAAAGACAAGTTTTATGACCCCTGAAGGGCTGTATTGTTACCTAGTGATGGCTTTTGGGCTGAGAAATTCCGGGGCAACCTATACCCGGATGGTTTCTCAGGTGTTCAAGACTGTCTTAGGGCGGACCATGGAGGCATATGTTGATGATATGATTGTCAAGTCCAAAGAGGCCCGAGACCATGTCCGGGACCTTGAGGAAGTCTTTGAAATCATGATGAAGGTGAATCTAAGATTGAACCCGAAGAAATGCACTTTTGCTGTTCAAGGTGGGAAATTCCTTGGGCACATGGTAAGTCGGAAAGGAATTGAGGCAAACCCGGAGAAAGTAAGAGCCATCATGGAGATGGAACCCCCGAAAACAGCAAAGGAAGTTCAGCGGCTAACAGGAAGATTGGCGGCTTTGAATCGTTTCCTTTCAAAGCTGGCGGAGAAGGCGCACCCATTTTTCGCTGTGATCAAGAAGAAGGCGACCTTCGAATGGACATAGGAATGTCAGGAAGCATTTGAAGAATTGAAAAGATATCTCACAAGTCCGCCGGTTTTATCCAAGCCGGAACCTGGGGATATTCTAACTCTATATTTGGCGATTGCGGACTGTGCCATAAGTACTGTGATCGTGAGAGAAGAGCGTGGGGCCCAACATCCGGTCTACTACGTCAGCAAGACCCTGAGAGATGCGGAGTTGAGGTATTCTCGACCGGAGAAAGCCATGTTGGCGGTCTTCTAGACGGCAAAGAGATTAACCCCGTACTTTCAGGCTCATCGGATTATTGTGCTCACCAATGAGCCTTTGGCGTCACTTACCAGAAGCCCGGCGGCATCTGCTCGGATGACCAAGTGGGCGGTCTTTATCAGTCAGTACAATGTGGAGTTTAGGCCGCGCCCATCCATCAAGGGGCAAGCACTCGTCGACTTTCAAGTCGAGTGCACTGCTAGAGAAATGACAAGAGCCCAGGTTGAAACCCGGATGGAGAGGGACTGGTGGATAATGAGCATCGATGGATCTTCTGGGTCTCGATCTTGCGGAGCAGGTATCGTCTTGATCACCCCAGAAAAATTCCGGATTTATCACGCTATCAGATTTCAGTTCCGCATGTCCAATAATGAAGCTGAATATGAGGCCCTGATCAATGGATTGAAGATTCTTAGTAAGATGGGGGTATCCAGGGTTCAGGTCTACAACGACTCCCGACTAGTGGTGGGACAAATCACAGGGGAATTTGAAGCAAAGGAAGAAAGGATGAAGAGGTATCGGGACTTGTCTTTATAAATATTGGGGAGGTTTGATTTTAAGCTGGAACATATACCCCGGGCCCAGAACGCAGAGGCCAATGTTCTATCCAAGCTCAGTGCGGAATCTCCGGAATACATAAGCAAATTGGCAACCGTCGAAGAGCTGGTAACCCCGAGTCTTAGCAACTGTGATGTGATCTGGGTATCAGCCGATCCCCCGAAATGGCTGGACCGGCTGGCCAAATACATTGAGGACGGTGAGGCCCCAGAGGATCCCCAAGAAGCACGTCTATTGTGAATGAGGGCACCTACCTACAAGGTACAGGATGGAATCCTCTATAAGCGATCCTACAACGGTGTCTTGCTCCGTTGCCTCAGGGCAGCAGAGGCAAAGGCACTGATGGAGGAAATTCACGAAGGAGTATGTGCTGCACATCAGGGTCCTTATTCCATTTCTAGAAGGGCTATCATCCAGGGATACTTCTGGCCAACAATGAGGAAGGATTGCGAAGAGTATGTACGCAAGTGCCCGACCTGCCAACAATTCCAGAATATACCCGGGAGGCCAGCCACGAATTACACGCCCATCAGCTCTGTGATTCCCTTTTCAAGATGGGGGATCGATCTTGTGGGAGCTCTGCCAAAAGGGGCAGGGCAAGCAAGGTGGATTGTGGTTGCGATAGACTATTTCACAAAGTGGGTGGAAGCTGAGCCACTTGCAGGGATCACCGGAAGGCAGATGATTGACTTCGTCGGAACCAATACACTCTGCAGGTTCGGGGTCCCGAAGCAGATCATATCAGACAATGGAACCCAGTTTGAGGAAGCCGAGTTTCAAGACTTTCTCAAAACTTGGGGAATTCAGCACACGAAGGTATTTGTTGCGTATCCTCAAGCTAATGGACAAGTGGAGAATGTTAACAGAACAATCATAGACGGAATAAAGAAGAAGTTACTTTCAGAAGGAACAAAATCGGTAGAAGAACTGCCCAGAATCCTGTGGACGTACAGGACGACTCCAAGGAGAGCCACGGGTGACACTCCTTTTGGCTTGGCTTATGGTTTTGAAGCCCGGGCTCCCGCTGAAGTAGTAATCCCCACCAAGAGAGAAATGGAATATGACCCGGAGGTGAACGAACAGAATCAGGCCGTAGAGCTGAATTTCGTGGAAGAACGAAGGGATGAAGCACGTATCCGAGCAGAGAATTATCGTCGCCAGGTGAAATCTTACTTTGATAGCAAGGTGAAACCAAGGGCAATCCAGGTGGGGGATTACGTTCTGAGGAAACGAGAGAAAAGTCAACCAACTAAGGGTGGGAAGCTAGCTAAGAAGTATGAAGGACCTTATATCATCAAGGCCGTTGCTCGCCCAGGTACCTACAAGTTGGTGACTCCCAAGGGGAAAGAAATTGATAGGACATGGAATGTAGAGCACTTGGTCAAATTTTATTAGTGAATCATTTTGTAAAAATGCTCTATTTTTAATTTAAAATGTTTGTTTCAATCAAATTCTTTTATAGCCAAGTGCCTTTGCAATTTCATTGTTCTATAGATTTCTTTAAAAAAAAAAAGGGGGGGGGGGGGNGGAGGTAGAGAAGTTTATGCCTCCGTCAAAAATGAAGGAAGGGTTGGGATTGGACTTCGAGGGCCACTACAACCTGGAATTCAGGAAGAATAGCAAGCAGACTTCGAGGGCTGAAGCTTAGTATTCCACTAGCATAGATCAACCGAGCAAACAAACTTCGAGGGTTGGAGCTCAACTGATCCAAGGTAGATAAGATAATGCCTTAACCCGGAGGAAGGGGAAGTCTGGGGCAGATGTAATAAGTGCCCCGAGCATGCCCAAACCCCGGGAAGATGAGATTTAATATGGAGAATGAATTATGTACTTGCATTTGAAGAGGTGCATATTGATGGGCCAAAGTTTACATTTTTTGGTTCAAAATAAAGGTCCCTAGTGAAATAAACAAGAAAAGAAATTAAGGGAGTTATCGATTGCTAATTCGGAGGGTGTATCTTTGAATTACAATGATGATTCCTACTTCAATATTAAGGAACATTCCTTAGTTTGGGATGAGGGGAAAACCTCTGGACCAAGCGAGTGAATGCCCCTTGACACAAAACAAGGAAAAGAAATTTGATTTGCAGGAGGCTAGGAACTGAAGGAGGGCCTATTGCATCCATGCAGTCATCAAGAAGGAGGTGGGGGACCCTTCCATGGGCTCCTTCTCTTTGACGAGGGACACGTTGATGAATCGGCGGTTTCCCATATATCATAATCTTCCCATGTCCCAGGGCGAGGGGCTGCTCCCTTCAATGAAGAACCATTGTTGGGGGGCTTCAGCAGGTTTGGAGAAGCAGTCCGGCTTTCACATGAAGGTTCCGCTTCAACAGTTAGCAAAGAACGTCCAAGCTTAGTCCTACACATCCTCTAGTACAAGGCGAAGTCCTGGAGAGTCATGGAGTCCCAGTCTATCTCCCCGGAGGGAAGCCTGGGTGGACTGGGAGGAGATGGTGCAGGAAGGCGGGGCGCCGGATAAAGCCTCGAGAACTCGCCGGGACTCAACCCGGCCATGTCGTTGGATTGGGCTGGGGAGGTGGAGAAGTCATCATCTGAAGAAGAAGATGTCCCGGAGTGGGTTAGGTCGATGATGACTTTGCCCTCAGACTTGCTTGCCATGGCGAAGAAGCCTGTAAGGATCTCAAACCGTAGGAAAGGCCTTCCCAACCCTCGATAAAAGCGGGGTAAGTTTGCGGTGTGAACTTACGCCGGATGGGGATATTGGGGGCTGGGAGTGTGGCCGTAGAACATTGTCCCTTCGGCTCCGGTCGATTCTCAGTCTCTCTCTCCATCTCTAAAGGAGCTTCAACGTCCCTCTGCTCTCCAACCTCATCCTCCTTTGGGGAGGGGATTTCCGTTTCTGTCTGCACTTCAACTTCCTTCTCCACTGCAGAAGAAGACTCTGGTTCCTGCTGACCCTCAGCTTCTTCCTCTAGTTCTAGGGGGGCGGATGCAGTTTGAGGGAGGGAATCGTTTGTATCAAGCTGAGGTTGCACTGCTGGTCTTGTAAGCGACGCCTGGCCTGGAAGTTCATCTGCCTCATGATCCAGACTTTCCGGGTTGGGTAACTCCAGCCCTAAACTTCCGGGAGTGGCAGTAGAAGAAACGTTCTGAGGACCAGAAGAGGTTGACAGGGGGCTGGGTGAAACAGGCGTATTATCGCCCTTATTTTTCTTGGGAAGGAAATCATCGTCAGTGACTCCCTCCCGTCGCCGCTTCTGGGACGGAATTGGCCTCCTTAGCCCGGGAATGGCTGAGATGGGAATGGCCTCCAAGGCGGAGGTCGGATTGCGGATAACCAAGGCAGTGAAGTTGCCTGGGGATTGATTCCTGGGAGAGCTCATGGCTGAGGAAGACTCTGCAACAGGAGAAGCCTTCGATCTCTCAGGGGAAGACACCCCCTCAAAGGGAATCGGGTCAGGACCCAGGGGGTAGTAAAAACCTGCCTTCTTGTACAGTTGAGCATCTTGGAGAGAGTGGTGGGAAATTAAACCCTCCTTCTCCTTCAAGGCATTATACACTCCCTCCGCCAAGTCTGCTGTGGCGAATCTCGTCCGGGAGATGGAATGGCGGAGGACAACACCCGGCAGATCGATGGGGCTGTGAGCCGGGAACTCAATAACGAAGTATTTCAGTGACCATCTGTCGATCTTGAGCTCAACCTTCTCAAAAATGGGAAAATGGTTATGGGGGTATAGGCTGTAAAAGGGGAAACCACCGATACTGAAGAGGAGAAGGAATTCGTCAAGTTTCGAGGTTTTGTCCAGGGCACAGCATCGCAAGATGAAGGATGCGACGTACTTGTGCGCGTTGGCGGTCAATTGACCCGGAGCAAATCCGAAATGGAGGCAGAGGTCGCGGAGCAGGCCGTGGAGGGGCAACCTAAATCCATTCTCCACGGAGTGGTAATGCATGACCATATATTTTTGGGGATTCGGGTTGTGGGACAAACTGATTCCCCCAACGGCATCGGGATGGCGGACCCGGAAACCTTTGCCCAGGAGCGCGGCCATCTCTCGAAGTTCGCTCTCCTTGATAATTGAGGGTTCGTGGGTCCAGGTTTCGGGATTTGAAGGGGCCATTCCGGAAAAGAAGACAAGGATTTTGGGGAAATTGCAGTCGGAATTCGGGTCGGGTTAAGATTCAGTAGCGAGAGGAAGAAGATGAGTCCAGAGAGGGTTTTTATCCGTTGAAAGGGTGGACCCGAGGTATTCGAGTGCGACGTTTCTAATCCGACACGAGGATCGAAGGCGGCTCATCATTAGTTTTCTAGCGACACGTTGCTAGAAAACTAGGGGGCTTGTGATGGATATCGGGTCTGGTAGACCCGACTCCAGGCCCGAACGAAGGCCCATAAGAGCCCAAAAGGTATAAGATCAGATGGGAATGACGGGCCAGGCCCGTTATTCCGCATATGACAAATAAAGGATGACGGCCCAGACACAGGATGGATCAAGGCGGATCCAGTCCAAGGGAGGATTGAGACACGTGGACCACATCATCAAGTGGTGGACGAAATGGGAAGAGAACGAGACCGGAAAGAAGGGGAATCACAACCCCATGATCCCCATAATCCATCTCCATTTTGTATAATTTTAATTAGAATATTAGAAGTACTATAAAAGGGGGAAGACCCCGCCATTGTAAAGCAAGTCACAATTAGACAGTTCAATACACGATCAAAGAATATTATCGAGTGATCATATCTTCCTAATACATATTCCGTTCTTGGTCCGCCATCTGATCGGGTTAATCCCATCATAATTATACTATTATTTATTTATACATTTTTGCATTAGGTGAATATTTAATTTACTATATATTTGAATTGCTTTTGTGTTTATGTTTAAGTTGAAATGTGACATTGTGATATAGATTGCGTTTGAAATATAGATTGTTTAATTGCTTTTTGTTTGATTCTACATGATATGAGATGTTATAATATAGAAATAACATATATTGACCGACCTAGATATCCGTTTAAAATTTACTCATTAGGAGTAAATTTTAAATAGCTCCCAGTTTGGAGCTGTTCTTGAAATGCTTCTCTCACTTGGGTAGTGAATGTATTTCTTTCTCTTTGTTCTGTCATTTTTTTGTTTGACGTTTCCTAAATGTATTCTTCGGGTGCATATGTAATTACATTACATCGTGCACTTGAATAACCATTGGGAAATGCTGCCGAAATTTTGATAGGTCAAAGAAAATGAAATACATTTACTAATGAGGGTGACATTTCACTAATGAGGGTGGCATTTCAAGAATGTTTTAGGATGGTGTAAGGGACCATTTGTATAATCAAGAAGTGCTGCCGGATTTTTGTTATATCATAAGAAATAAGATATTGTGTTCCCTGTATTTCTTATAATATGTTTGTGTGTATATATAAAATGAGTGTTAATAATTTTGTGGTGCATTGTTTTGTATTAATCATTTGCCCGTCTTTCTAGCTTAGCAATTCATATGATGGATAGAAGTTGGATTCATATGTCGCGTACATCACTTGAGTTTGGTTCTGATTTGGAAGAGTTTATTCGTTTCGTAGAGAAACATTCAAAAGAAAGAAAGAAGATATATTGTCCTTGTAACTTATGTCACAACCATTTCATGGTTGATAGCGTTAAAGATATAAGATTACATGTGTATCGCAAGGGTTTTGACCCAACATACCTGCGATGGAAATGGCATGGAGAGTTAAAAAATCCTTGCAGCTCTAGCTATACTCATAATGAACAAGTCGAACATGATATTCAGGATATCCACAATTTTGAGGTTGAAATGGAAAATGAGTTAGGGGCCACTCAAGATGTTCCTCATGATCAAGTCGTCATTGATAGGGATGGCAATTCAACCCGAACCCGAGCTTAACCGACCCGACCGACCACTAAAATATCCGAACCCGAACCGAGAATAAAATAATCCGAACCCGACCCGAAATTTTTTACCCAAACCCGACATCGGGTCGGGTCGGGTGTGGGTTTATTATTTTACCCGACCGACCGAAACCCGAACCCGACCCGACTCAAACCCAAATATTTTATAACATAAAAGTCTATCTATGGATATAATGAGCACTCCGTATAATCTCTTGACAAAGTGATACTATATCAAGTATGCCTTTTATAATCATTTTTATAATTTCTTAATAAAAAAATGACACAAAAAAAATTAGATGTAATCTTTTTAAAATTATTGGGGTACGCCGAATTGATTATTAATTAAAAGTCGGGTTCGGGTAGGGTTCGGGTCGGGTTCGGGTTTTTGGTTGGAATGTCGGGTTCGGGTTTTGGCTTAAAAAGTCGGGTTTCGGGTCGGGTTCGGGTTTCGGTTTTTAAAGTCGGGTCGGGTTTGGGTATAGTACTATCCGACCCGAACCCGACCCGTTGCCATCCCTAGTCATTGATGAAGAGCATAATATGTTGTTGGACAATGTGCTATCATGAATATATATTTTTGCAATGTCCTTTGCCCATTGTCTTTTAGGTTTTGATAATGACCAAAGGGTGACAAAACATCATCATCATATTATGCATCAAGGCTAAGAATCAAAGCTACAACAAGTTCATATCCGTCTGTGAAGAAGGGACTTGAGCATCGGTGGAAGGAACGAGACCGAAGAGGTTGTTTCCTTAGTTGGGTAGTGTTTTAGGTCTTAGATTATGTGTTAAAGAGTATGGCATCTCTAAGGTTCATTCCCTTATCATCCTACCTTTAAAACACATTTTAGATCAGCCTTTGTGTGGGGAAGTTGCCTTTCTATTCGAATAATCTTTAGTTTATTCGAATAAGTCGTGATCTTTCTTGTGACTGAGATTAACCTGTTTTATTCGAATAAATCCACCACTTATTCGAATAAGTCCTGGTTTTTCAACCTGATTTATGCGAATAAATCATCATTTATTCGAATAGGAACTGGTTTTTCAAGCCACGCGATTGATCCAAACTATTCGAATAGTTCTTGAGTTATTCGAATAAGTCAACAGTTTCAACTACGGCTAGTTTTTTTAATGCTTTTCATCCTTATCCACTCCCTAACTTCTATAAACTACCTACTTTCGTGATTATCTTCATAAGAGCACTTAGAACACTTTGAAGAACATATCCTTTGAATATCCAAAGAGATTCTACTCAATCCCCTCCTTATATCCAAGCAAGGCAATTGTTTCGATTGCAAAATCAGTTTTTCCTCATTGCTTGAGTCTTTGAGAGATATTGCCATGTTCTAAAGGACTTCATTGTATTTGCAACAATCTACTCCGTGTTGAGAGAATCACTCGGTTGCGGTTTGTTTTTTTACTTTATTGTAAGGGATTTGTATTCTTGGTGTTGGGATTACACCAAGTGGTAGAAATCCTAACGGTTTGTGAAATCAAACGTTAGGTGTAAGAAATCCCGAGTTTTGTGAAATCAAAACTTCAGTGGTATTCGGATTGTGAAATCAAAACTTCGATAAGAGGCTTGTGAAATCAAGTTTTCGAGTTGTATTCGGATTGTCAAACTCCGTTAAGTTTGACGGGTTAGTGAAGGCCTGGGCACGATTGCTTCGGGGACTGGATGTAGGCATTTAGGCCGAACCAGTATATATCATGTGTGCATTGCTCTTATCCTTCACTTTATTTTGTTTGTGGTGCATTGTTTTTTTGTTGAATATTCGTGAAGAACGTTTCTGCGCAAAAAAAAAAAAAAAACTGGTCTTTTGGGCAACACCTCTATTCACCCCCCCTCTAGAGGTGTGCGAGGCGTGTAACAAGTGGTATGAGAGCTTAGTAGGAATCTCAAAATGCCCGTTGTATCCTGGTTGTACAAAGTTTACACGTTTGAAAGGGGTTTTGGAATTGTTCAATGTAAAAGTAGCAAATGGGTGGCGTGACAAAAGTTTTACGTCTTTATCAAGTTTGTTGGGTGAACTTCTTCCAGATGGACATGAATTGCCATCATCCACTTATGAGGCGAAGAAAATGATGTCTCCAATGGGAGAGGGCTACAAGAAGATACATGCTTGTGTTAATGATTGCATTTTATATCGAAATGAGTTCCAGGATCTTGACGAATGTCCCAAGTGTTTTGCTCCAAGATACAAGGAGTCAACCAAAATGACTCATAACAAGGACAGTATGAAAAAAAACCAAAAAGACTCCGGTTAAGGTTATGTGGTACCTTCCAATAATACCAAGGTTCAAGCGTTTGTTTGCTTCGATAAAGGACGCAAAGAATACTTTGAATGAAAAAAACACACAAGAAAGGCGCGGAAGTTTTGAAGACATGCCTTGCATTAAAAGTCATGCCTTATATCGCACAATCTCATCATTTTATTTCTTCTTATTGCAGACACCCATTTATAACTATTGGTTTGACATCTATGGGTGTTTGAACTACATGTTCGAAAATATTTTATTTATCGAGTGACTTGAACTCGACCTTTAGGATCTTGACATTTTGGCCAATCATTTATGTACTATCTACATGTACTTTTTTTTGAGTTTTAGGTATGTAATCTCTTTTATTGATTACATCCATTGCCATAGCATATGCAAGAATATCATTAACACGTATTTCATTTTGATTTCATATTGTGCAGTCTTGTACATAATTAATTGAGATATCATTTTCATTCGGTACCGATATTTCTTCTAGAATTATGCTAGTCTCTTCTAAGACATTTACCTCTTTTGGGTTTCATTTTCTTCTGGAATAGTCTTCTTCTAGGACAGTTACCTCTTCTGGGGTTTCACTCATAATCATGTATGTGGTTTCACTAATAGCATTTTTGCTATTTTCATTTTTGTGGGTTCTTATCTTTGAAATCGATTATTCTCCCACATTGATTGTTCATTAGTCACTTCTGGGATTACCTTAAATTGAGCGATGCGTAAGATGCTCGTATATCTAACTTTGTCACTCTACTCGTATATGTGAATGCATCTAGTAATTCATTTGTTCTTCTTTGCAAATCAGACTTCAAAATTACATTGATCACTTCAGGAGCTAAAAATTTACAATGATGATGCATTTCATATAATTTCTTGTATTACCATTCTTTCATTATTCTTGTCTCCCCTTAAGACTTGGAATACTTCATCATAAAATTAACAATCAGCTTACTTTGCTGTAAATATATCTCATGTCAAAAAACTCTAAACATGTAACAATAGGCGATGAGTTAAAACCAATATCAATACTCAGTCTTCTACATTATATTGGATGCATTGTGGGGGAGGGGCATATAAGGCACACAATCAAATATTGTCAAAAGGGACAAACTTGTTTCTCTTTGAGAGATATCAAGTGTAAGAAACTAAAAATTTTGAAGATTTGATATTTTATTTATAGGGGAGGACTAATAAAAATGAACATGTGTATATAAAATTTATGTGAAGGAGAACTTCAGGTTCTCATATGTTGGAACTACAGGTTCCTTATAATAAGTCCATTGTTTTTTTAATGGTTGAGAAAATGTCAAGAATTCAGTTCTAACCGAAGCATTTACAATTGTCACATAAAATTCATAATGTATTTGCAATATCTTAGTACAATTTTCTTTGCTAAACTTCAGGTTGACATCTTTTATAGAAGATTATATATAATATAGTGATAATATAGAATTTATCATCCATTCAACTCCTTCAAAAACCTTCCCTTAGTGTCTATCTACCATTATGGTAGCTTGATAGTTTATCTTAATTTAAGCCCATTAAGTATTTGCTCCAAATAATTACCATATAAAAGAAGACTAAAAAACCAGTATAAAATATTTTGCATTCTAGTGAACAACTCTATTCACCCCCTTCTAGAGTTGCACGTTTGTCTAACAATTGGTATCGAAGCAGGAAGTTCTTTGAATATTTCTTATTTTTTTCAGGAACTAAAAGATCAATGGCATCTAGAATGTTCAACATAGCAGTTAGCGAGGGTCAATCAACCATGAGGCCACCATTGTTCGATGGAACAAACTATTCCTATTGGAAGGAAAGGATGAGAATTTTCATCCAATACAATGACTACAAGCTTTGGTTGATCGTGAAGAATGGGTGTGGCGTTCATATGAAAAAAGTCGGTGAGGTTAACGTCCCTAAAACCGAAGAGGAGTACAACGATGAGGAATGCAAGAAGATGGAACTTAATGCCAAAGAAATAAACATGATTTATTGTGGTGTTAAAGTGGATGACTACCGCAAAATCTCGCGGTGTGAAACCGCAAAACAAATGTGGGAAAAGTTAGAGGTCACCTACGAAGGAACCATGTAGGTTCGGGAGGCCAAAATCGACCAACTCACTCACGAGTACGAGCTCTTCTCGATAAAGAAAAACGAGAAGATTGAGGATATGTTTGAGAGGTTCTCTAACATCACCAATCCTCTAAACCTTCTCAGAAAGACATACACCGACTGAGAGCTCGTGAGGAAAGTGATGCAGAGCTTATCCCCCAAATGGCGTTTAAAGGTAGACGCAATTGTATAAGGTCGTGACTTTCAAACAACGACCTATGATGCTCTTCAAGGTAATCTTATTACCTATGAAACCACCCAACTTTCCAAGGTGGTTGAAGAAAGGAGCAAGAGGACTATTGCTCTTCCTGCAATAACGTCAACCCACAACAACCTTGACGATGAAGATGATGATAGCGACGACACCGACCTCGGACTCTTCGTCCAAAAATTCAGGAAAATGATGCTTAATAAGGGAGCCAAGAAGAACACTCCACCCAAGTGCTATAGTTGTGGTGAAATTGGACACATCAAACCAATGTGTCCCAAGCTCAAGAACGAGAAGGACAAGAGGGCACCAAAGAAGCAACATGCCTACATTTCTTGTGAGAACGATGGCTCCAGGAGTGAAGACTTGGAAGCGGAAGAGGTGGCTAACCTATGCCTCATGGCCATTGAAGATGGAGAATCATCAAAAGAGGTAAGTGATCAAGAACCTTTCTCCAATGATTCCTTAACTCTTAATGATGTAGTTAGTATAGTAGAAGAATTAGTAGGTAGGTTTAAGAAGGCCTCTAAAGAGAATAATGAAGTTAAACAAAAAATCATGATTTTTGAAAATGATATTAAGGAACTCAAAAATATAAATGATCAACTTAGACAAGAAATTGTTTCTTTTGGAAAAAGGCGGGAAACATCACCTTCTTGTTCATCTACTACATGCTCTAGTTGCACTTCATTAAAGGATAAGGTTGCTACTTTAGAAAGCAAATTGGGAAATTTTAATAATGCCTCCAAAACCTTAGATAAAATAAATAGGCAAAACTAGTAATGGTGAAGGACTAGGATATAAGAAAAACCCACCTAGAAAAACTACATTTGTTAAAGCTAGGGGAAATAAAAATTCTAGGACTAAGGGGATGTTTGTTTCAACCTCTTAATGGTTCAGATGTCTGAATGGTTCAGCACTTAATGGTTCAGACTGTTTGTTTCAGCCTCTTAATGGTTCAGATGTCTAAATGGCTCAGACATTTGCCTCTGAATGGTTACGTATTATACAGAGTCTGAATGGTTAAGACCTCTTATCTGAATTGATCAGACATTTGCCTCTGAATAGTTAAGCAATATACTAGCTCTTAATGGTTCAGACATCTTACTGGTTCAGCACTTAATGGTTCAGACCTCTTACTGGTTCAGCACTTATCTATTCAGAAGTTGCCAAACAGCCCCTAATAATCAAATTAGAAGAGCACCTCTTAGCAAACCTAGAACCTATCTCACTCAACCTTATAGGTTGAATAACCCGAAGGTTATTTGTCATTATTGCAAAAAGATAGGTCACATTGCACCCGTGTGCTTCACCAAACATAGGCATTTTCAACAAACACACACACATTGCACATATGCTAACCAAAAAGGACCTAACAAGAAATGGGCACCTAAACCGTCTCCCTGACATTTTTTTGTAGGTGTGCTTGAAGGCTTCAAGTACCTCTTGGTATCTCGATAGCGGATGCTCCAAGCACATGACTGGAGACGCATCCAAGTTTAGGGGTTTAGAGTATTTCAAAGGTGGCAATGTCGTTTTTGGCGACAGCAACAAAGGAAGGATCATTGGAATTGGCACCGTTAGTAGAGACAATGTTGCAACCGTTGAGAACGTTCTTCTAAATGAGGGCCTCAAGCACAATCTTCTTATTATTAGTCAATTGTGCGATAGAGGTAACCATGTCATCTTTGATTCTAGTAAATGCATTGTAGAACGCGTGTGTGACAATAAGGTTATTCTTTGTGGTAGTAGGGTAGATAACATTTACATGTTTCATCTTGAAAATTCTCCATCTACCTTAGCTAAGTGCCTTATTACTAAAGAGGAAGAAACGTGGATATGGCATCGTCGGATAGCTCACGTTAACATGGACCATCTTAACAAGTTGGTCTCTAAAGACTTAGTAATTGGTGTCCTTGAACTTAAGTTTGATAAGAATCTATTTTGTGATGCATGTCAAAATGGGAAAATGGTATTAGAGCTAATGGTTTGACAATATTGTTCTTCTAGAACATATTGTCTCTTTGTATCATATTGCTAGTAGTTCCCTATTTAAAGGAAACTCTTGCAAAAAAAATTAAGCGAAATTGCCTTTTGGGCTATCATTAATCTCCCGACATTGATTCAGAGGGAAGGTTATCGGTTGATAATGCCAAGGGGGGGGGGAAGGATAATTGAGAAAATATCTCTTTCAAAACGTTCTTCCGCTTGTTACTCCGTAATTTTTTCACTACACCATTCTAACTTTGTAGGGAGAATTAATTAAAGGAAAGTATTTCCTGACATCACACTTTGCTATTTCTCAACTATATTTGTCATTATCAAAAAGGGGGAAATTGTTAGATATGAGTTCAAACCCCTTATTTTGATATTCTGGAATATTATCTTTTTTGGGTTTTGTAAATGACAAACAAGATGATTAAAATCAACGATGATCAAATATTCATTTTCGTATCGATAAAAACAAAGAGGCATATCAAGAAATTTACGGCAATGAATTTCACTGCTCACCCCTACGCTGATTTTTTAAAGTGAAGTGAAGATTCTGAATACTTTTATTTTTTATTGAGGCCATGAATTTTTTGTAAGGATGACAATTATTTTTGCATGAGCAAACTAATTTTTTTAGGGACAAATTATTATTTTCTGAGTCAGTTGAAAAATCAATTTTTCTCTGTCTAAAAATAGTTTACTTGTCAGTTACAAAATAGTGTGTCAAAATTTCTTAAAATCTTCCTTTAAGGTACACAAATTTTTTTTTGTAAGAAAAATATACTTTAAATATTTTTCATGTACATCGTTTGACACACAAAATATTGTTGGGACTCAATTTCTACTCCGAAAATTCATTTCATAATTCAAATTTTGAATTTGAATTAAAATCAATTAACTTGTTGATTTGTTTGTTTTTGGGAGCCTCTTCATCCCTCAAAACATGTCTAAAACAAATCACAAACTCCAATTTTGTACATCTCACTCGCACACATGTTTTGAGTCCTCCATATTTGGAGGTTTTTCTTCAGGGGATCGATCCACTGCTTGGATCGATCCAATGTGCAGAGTTATTATTAGAGGATCGATCCACTATATTGGATCCATCAAAATAAATCCCAAAATTTATTTGGAGGATCGATCCACGGAGTTGGATCGATCCCCCGTAGCCTTGATCACAAATTCTTCCAAGTTTTTAACTCGAGATGATTGATCATATTGCTTGGATCGATCCCAACAGTAAAATCTGTTAAAAACATTTCATTTCCACCTCCAATGGATTTATTTCTTTTATCCCTATAAAATCATTCATCCTTCTTCATCAAACACACAAGTCTTGCACTCCTTTCACCCCTTCATTAAAATTTAACTCCATTCTCCTCATCAAATATATTATTTTGAGAGTTAAGAATATTATTGTTGAGTTCTAAAAGAGATTGTCATCCATAGAACTTTCATATCTCAAACACTACATGCTCAGTTGTGTAAAAATCTTGTTTGAGTTGTTTCTAAGACTTGTGAGACTCAAGTCTTGTTGTTGATAAGACTTGTCTGACTCAAGTCTTGTTGTAAGAAGTTGAGGCTTGTGTGACTCAAGCTCTCGAGTTGTATCGATTTTTCAAGCACCTGTTGAAGCTTGAAGATTAGTAGGACCTTTGAGAGAGTTCACGGAGAATTGGACCAGCCACGAGGTGGTGAACCAGTATAAATCACGGTGTACTTCTTCCCTTGCTCTGTAACACCCCAACCCGCGTAACCCGAATAAATAGTTTAGCGAATCGGGTTGCTACTAAATTGGTATCCACGCACAATATTCCCAATAAATCAAAAATATTTAATTACACATCCAAACATTTCAATTAAAACTTAAACGTTTATCGGAGTTAATTCAAAACAGTGCGGAAGCAAAAATCTATTAAACAACGTCATGCTTACAATGTGTTAAACAACTACGGAGTTAATTCAATTACACATCTTATTAATAATTCGGAGTATTAAACAACTACGTCAAAAATTCTACAAAACAATAAGTGATAAGAATATTTTATTTTATCAAATACTTAATGAAATTGCGTAAACAAACAAAAGTTATCAAGAGGAGAGAAAAAAATTGTAATCTATTTAGGGACAGAGAGAGTACATCTAAAAATGACAAGTGTTCTAAAATAAATTAGAAAACAATGTGGTTTGGTAAGTAATTAGTACGATTTAAATACGAAAATAAATTAAAAAACTGCAAAATTAATATTAATACTATACTTTAAAAACATGTTTTTTTTAAAAGGTAAGTGTTCAAATTAGAAAATTAGAAAATAAATACGTAATGGTATGTCACCACGATAAGCAAATGCTACCATTTAAACACAAAATAAAATAAATGGTAAGTGTTCTAAAATAAATTAGGTAAGTGTTCTAAATAAATTAGAAAATAAAATAATTATTAAAACGATAAGTATTCTAAAATATATTAGAAAATAAATACGGTACGGTAAGTAAATGATACCATTTAAATAAAAAAATAAAATAGAAAACTACAAAATAATAATATCAATTAATACTACAATTTACAAGCGTGGTAACGTGTAAAAATGGTAAGCGTTATAACATAAATTAAAAAATAAATATGGTACATTAAGCAAATGGTACCATTTAAATGCAAAAATTAAAAATTTATAAATTAATACTATTAATATTATAAGCATGGAAACATGTAACAATGGTATAAGTATTCTAAAATAAATACTATTAATACTATAATTTACAAGCATGGATACGTGTAAAAATGGTAAGTGATCTAAAATAAAATAGAAAATAAATACCATAGGGTAAGTTAATGGTACCACTTAAATACGAAAATAAAATTTAAAAATACAAATTCCAAAATAAATACATTAATATGTTGAATTATTACTTAGATAAGTCAAATTATTGAATAATTATCAAGAACAATATCTGAAACATATTGAATTATTGTTACGGAAACTGGTATTTAGTCATGAGAAAGTGTATGTTGCAGTTTAAAGAGTAATAAATCGCAATTGCTTGAAGATTCTGATATACAACGAAGTGAATGCTCACACATATTATACATACGAGTGATGTAGTTTTGACAATTGTAGTTTTTTTCGGGTAGTAAACCTTCCCAGTAAAGGGTTAGTTTTCTCTCCGAGTGTCGTATCTCTCGAGGAGTGGACGAAGGGAATTAATTTAATTACTCTGACTAGGCGAAGATTAGAATTGGTTTATGAAAATCTTCTCGAAACGAATAAAAAGGGAGCAGAATAAAAATAATAAATTTAGTTTACATAGTATAAGTATAGATCTGGACCTAGGGTCTGGACATCATTTGGATCTATTTTATCACATTAAATTAACAATTGGAATAATAATATTTCTATTACTACCCATCCATTTCTAGATTTGTACTTAATCCGTTGCACTTGAATATCGTAGCCTTTTGGCATACAATATCTTCTCAATAAATAGCTAATTAAATCTTTCGACATTAATTAACTAAATAAGGCAAGAGCAATTGACTAATCATTCCAACATCAATTTAACATCAAAAATAAACAACCAAACTAGTCCGGACCCAGAGATCCGGGCCCTAACTCATACTATGCAAACATGGATTAAAACATCATTTTATTAAATAAAGAAAACTTACAACTTCCGTAAAAGCGGAACAGAACTGATCGGGAGTAGAATTCCTCCAAAAATACTTAGAAATAATAACTAAACTAATATATAATGAAATATTGACTAAAATAGTGGAGAAACCCGAAATGGGTTGTGAGATGGTGTGGAATGAATGAGAGGAACGCTGTATTTATAGGGCAGGAAGTACGGGCGTCCAACTCCCTGGGCGTCCAACTTTGGACGCCCGTACCCAAAATACGTGTTCCGTCCAGTCGCGTTGTGTCGCGTGGCAAGGCCGTGTCACCAGATAGCTTGGGCGTCCAGCCTCTTCGGGCGTCCAACTTTGGACGCCCAGGACCCAAATCCAGCGCCCAATTTGCTTCCAATTGCGGTTTCTCGTGATTTTGGGCCCAAAGTTGTTCCGCATCGGCCCAATTGGCTCCCAGACACTGATTTCTACCTCCAAAGTATTATGATCTTTAAAATCTAAAACTTTTTATCCAATTTGTTCATAGACAAATCCACTTAATTTAATTTAGAACCTGTATTTTATTCTTCTTGAGACAAAACATCAGTTTTGTCACTAGTAGACACTTTCAATGGGTAAATTTATTACTATTTTCGTGCAATAACGCTTAAAATATGTAGAATAAAATAAGAACAAAATGAACTTATCAAATTTCTCACACTTAAACGTTGCTTGCCCTCAAGCAACAAATTGAATAAGTTAAGTATGAAAACAAATTAGTATTCACAGAAGAAAAGTTTAAGTTAC